TTAAGCCATTTCTGACCTTAGGTCTCTGGTTGGGACCCGGAAGTAAATGTGTAAACAGAAACAGGATAATAATAATAATAATAATAATAATAATAATAATAATAATAATAATAACAACAATGATAATAATAATAAGAACAACAATAATAATAACTACAATGATAATAACAACAAAAACAATAATAATAACAATGATAATAACAACAATGATAATAATAACAACTGCAATGATAATAATAATAACAACAATGATAATAACAACAACAACAACAATAATAACAATAACAATAATAATAATATTTACAAGGATAATAACAACAATGATAATAATCACAACAACAACAACAATAATATTAACAATAACAATAATAATAATATCAACAAGGATAATAACAATAATGATAATAATCACAACAACAATAATAATAACAATAACAATAATAATAATAATATCAACAAGGATAATAACAATAATGATAATAATCACAACAACAATAATAATAACAATAACAATAATAATAATAATATCAACAAGGATAATAACAATAATGATAATAATAACAAAAAACATTGATAATAATAATAAAACCACAACACTAATAATAATAAATACAACAATGATATTAATAATAACAAGAATAATAATAACAATGATAATAACAACAACAATAATAATATATCGTTGTCAGTATCAGCATCTCTGTTAAGAAATAGCAGCAATTTTTTAAAGTGTTTCTTGTTGTTGTTGTTGTTTTTATTTATTTCCGTCGCTCGTCGCCTTGTCGTCAAAAATGACCGCTGAAGAGACTAATGGCAATGAGTGCGCGTTCACAGCACAAATGGCGTTTTCGATTATGGCTACTCACATTTTATGGTATGGATCGTTTATCAGAAGAAGCCACTCGACCGTATCAAAGCAGGAGATCGAGCTGAAATGGTTGAGGGACGATGAGGAAATGAAGTTAACCAATCGCTTACAATGTGGGCATAAACAGTCAATGCTTCGTAGGGAGAATGTAAAAAAAAAAGAAGAAAGAAAGAAAAAAGACAGAGAAACGGACGGGATGTATAAGACATAAGCACGCGATGAGAGAGGTTAAAACAGAAAGATAACTGTGAAATGTTGGTCATACCCCCTAAAATGCGTGTCTGTCTTAAACTCCAGGTTAAACACTCCAGTTCCTCTGTCTTTCCACGCTATTATCTTGGCCGCTAATAACATCTCCTTCGGAGTGGAGACGGTGGTGATACAATTATGTAACTATACACAAGTTTTTAACGCCAGCTTAAGTCTGCGCTTCGGCCGACTTCTAAAATGATGATAGGTGATGTATTGACCGGTGCTGGGCGGCGATTAGATGGACGAGACGAGACGTGTCGAAGGAGTGTCGAGAGCGCGGGATCCTCGGTGATGGGGGTGGTTTTCCTGCTTAAATCAATCTTATATGCGTCCTTGCTCGCTTGCTTGCTCCCGCCTCTTCTTCCCGGCAGTCACACTCATTGTCTTTATGCGGTATTAACCCACAATGTATTTGCCGCTGTCGCTGTTGTCCCGAAGAAATAAACGACTGTTCACCTACTTTCACTTTCACTTTCATTTTCTCTTTTGTATTTCATTCCTTTTATTTATGCTTGGATCGATTTTTGGTTCTTTTTCGGACGAGGTCTTCATTTGTCTTTTCTCTTCCTTTTTTGTTTAACGATAATCGAGTCGATATTCCCGTGTCTTCCGCCACACAACATTCATTTTCTTTTTCTTTTTCTTTTCGGGAGATTAAAAATATAAATCCAATATTATCAAATATTTTCATTTTGTCCATTGCAAACTTATTTGTTTTTCTATTTATTTGCATTATTTTCCATTTCCTTCTCTTATTTGCTTCTTCATTTTTGGTTTTAATATTTCCTTTTTTTCTTTTTTCTTCATGCCATTTTCTTATCCCATTTTCTCTTCTTCTTTCTTTTCCATTTTACTGCCTTTCTTCTTCTCTTTTCTTTTTCTTCTTCTATTTCGTGATCTTTCTCGTCCTTCTTATTATCTTCCCTTTGTTCTCTTCTATGGCTTTTTCCTTTCTTTTCTTTCTTTCTTTCTTTCTTTCTTTCTTTCTTTCTTATTTAACTTGTCTTCATTTGTTTCTTAGCTCCTCTTTCTTTTTCCTTTTCTTTCTTCTTTCCTTCTCTCTCTCTCTCTTTCTTTCTTTCTTCTATCGCATTTACCGATCTTTTTTGTTCTTTCTTTCCTAATAACCTTTCTTTCTTTCTTTCTTTCTTTCTTTCTTTCTTTCTTAATAGCTCTGCTTTCATTCTTTCTTTCTTGATAGTTTCTACTTTCTTTCTTTCTTTCTTTCTTTCTTTCTTTCTTAATAGCACTGATTTCATTCTTTCTTGCTTGCTTGCGTTGTCTTAATAAATTTGTATTCATTTTTTCATTCTTAATCACCTTGCTTTCTCCCATTCTTTCTTTCTTTCTTTCTTTCTTTCTTTCTTTCTTTACTTTTCGTTTCTTTCTTTAGTTCTCCTGTCTTTCTCGCTATCTCTCGCGCTTTCTTTCTTTCTTTCTTTCTTTCTTTCTTTCATAATGTCTATGCTTTCTTTCGTTCATTCTTAATAACCTAGCCTTTCTTCTCTTTTTTTTCTAACATTAACTCTTCTTTCTTTCTTTCTTTCTTTCTTAATAACCCCGCTTTCTTTTTTTCTCATTGTTAATAACGCCCATTTCTTTCTCTCTCTCTCTCCCTTTTTCTTTCTTAATGAACTTGTTTTCTTTCTTACTTGAGTTTTTGTTTGATTATTACTTATTGAAGACAAATTGCAATCACTTTCTGCTTGAATCCGTCAATTGATCATTCAGTTTGTTTTGAGTTTGACCAAATATCGAATACCAAATCAGTTTTATTATACGACGCCATGTTAAGCAAAGTTTCCGCCATTTTCTTTCCCAATACTTTTTTGGCATCCCAAGTATTTTCGTTTTCTTTCTTGTGTTTTTTGTCAAAACCTTTATTATTGTTAAACTTATATAATGCTCTACAGGCAGTAATTTTCGATGATCATATTAATTATAAAAATTTTCAAGGTCTTGTGATATGATCATCAAAAATTGCGTTTGAAAGCATCACCATTGTAAGTGATGACCATTGACGATCATGGCTCTTTACAACTTCATGTTTTTGGGGGTTTTGGGGGGGGAGGGTATCAATCGTTATCTACAGTTCTCCTGATCACTCTTCTATTGTTCTCGGTCATTAACCCTAGAACACTAACCATGGGTGTATATAGTACCCAGGGCAAATTTTCCTATTTTTAATCACAATTTTCAGTACCTGATTTACTTACCTAAATAATGTTTTTCAGTTTCTCAAAGTACAAAGTTTGAAGTGCCTGCATGTAAAATATTTCAAATAAAGATTTATATTTAATATTTTTTGATATTTTCAAAATCGAGTATAATATACCCATGATTAGTAGTGGTGTAACTTTAAACCTAGAACACTAACCATTGGTATATAGTACCCAGCGCAATTTTTCCTATTTTTAATTACAATTTTCGGTACCTGATTTACTTACCTAAATAATGTTTTTCAGTTCCTCAAAGTACAAAGTTTGAAGTGCCTGCATGTAAAATATTTCAAATAAAGATTTATATTTAATTTTTTTTTTTTGATATTTTCAAAATCGGGTATGATATACCCATCGTTAGTAGTGGTGTAACTTTAATTGATGGTTAGTGTTCTTGGGTTAACAACGTTTCTGTTTTCTAATTCTTTCACATCCAGTAACTCCTTGTGTCTTAGTGGCTTAACGGCCTTTCTTGGGATGATTTTTTTAAAAGTTGTCGAAGTGAACTTTCAGTTTTTTTTCTGAGTGTGCCATCACCAGAGTTTTAATGCAGATTTCTAGCTTTTAAAACATCAGCTTTAATTAATTAACATATATATATATATGTTTAATTCATCGAGTCTGATAGAAACCTCAACAGAATGCAGAAAGCACTGGACGGCCGTTTCGTCCTATATTTGGGACTCACCAGCAGTGCGCATCCACTACCGAGAATTGAAACCCTGACAGTTAGGTTGTCAAACAAACATCATACCAATTGTTCCAACGGGCCTCGGTGACGAAGAGATTGCAAATCAGACTCGATGAATTAATTAAATATAATTATCAGATCCTCCTAATAATTTCCATATATATATATATAAATAATTTTCATTTTTGGATACACCAGCCGCTCAAAAAAGATTCCCTCTTTCTATTTAATATTACAGAATCATAGAGTTAGGCTAGGTTCAGTTGCTGTTAGCTTATAGCATCTGGGTGATTAGACTATTCAATAGTCTAACTTCACATCGAAGACCCGCTCCTATTTATATAATATATTATAGTACTAAAAAATTAGGGTACAAGTAATGAAAGTCCATGACCTTTGGCTGGACATTAGCCTCCAACTTCGAATATTAAACCCAATGGAATTTTCAGTCAATTTGGGGTAATAAATGGAGTCTCATATGCCATCAAATGCGGTACATCTCTGAATAATCTAATGTAAAAATAGGCTGGAAAATGTAGACATTTCCGCAAGTGTTCTTGCATTATTGTAATGTTCCTTTTTTCCCCCTTTTTACGTACTCGAGTCATCTGATCGCTCATTCCTCACCAAACTCCTCCAGCTGTCCCCAGACCCCCACTTCAGTTCACCTTTAGCCTTCACAGCCTTGATAAGGCCGTACCAATATGAAGCCGTCATTGTCTTTTTTTTTTACGCTGGATTGCGCAAGCGCACTTGGACCACTGGCTTCTTCCGGTACAACGCGTCTTCCTCTTTCTCATTTATTTCCCGTTTCTCCTTCTTTTTCCACAGTCTATCTATCTATCTATCTATCTATCTATCTATCTATCTCTTATCTATCTATCTATCTATCTATCTTGTTCGATTATTTCCAATTCACTTCACGTCCTCCGCCATTGTGTCTACTCTTCGTGTGGCCTGTCATATGTAAGCAGGACGATGTACAATGACACAGGCCAAAATAGGTGAACTGTATTTTCCCGCCGATTTTCTATTGATCTCGCTTCATTTGTCGGCCATATTGTATAACAAATGAAAAAAAAATAACGAAAATATCAACATGACCGCTAATGTCGATTTTGCTTACCTTCAAAGGTCGATTTTTAAAAGATAAAAAAAAAAAAATGAAGCCAGTGGTTAAAGCATTGAACTAATGACTAAAGGATATAATTTTGCGTCTTCAGTGGAAAGTCGATGAAACTCTTTAATACTTTCTTCATGGATGGTGATTTTTTTAAACGCACCTTAGATGTGATACAAAACCGAAAGTATGGGGTACCCAATGAGGATCGAACTCACTACTCAGTCACAATTGTTCTGGCGAGACAAGCTTGCTAACCATTATATCACGTGGAGGTGCCCAAATGATTTTCTAAGCGTAGCTTCGATGTGGAACAAGGCCGATAATGTGAAGCACCCAGTGAGGATCGAACTCACTACTCAGTCGTAATTTGTCTAGTAAGACAAGCTTGTTAACCATTACACCACGTCGAAGTGTCCAATACATTTTTTAATGATGGATAAGTTTGATTTTTAAGTAATATTCACGTCCACCATTGAGACTGATTTAGGCGAAATCATCTTTTCTTCCTGCATCCTGTCTCCGTCATGGCTCTCCACAGCTTCCTTTACCTTGTAGCGCTTAATAAATGTTGTCTTTCTGTTATTTCTTCTAAACCTTGTTACGCCATCCGTTTACTCAACGTCACTAGTTAGGTTATGCGTTGTTTTCCTCTGTCTTTCTTGCCTTCAATCTGTCCTGTGAGTATCAGCTTTTCCAAGCCCTCTTTCCTCGTTGTGTGCCGTAGAAATCTCAACTGTTTCTTCCTGATAGAATTATACGTGTTAATCTGTATTCATAATGAATAATAACTTTTACATCTATCAAACAATAATAAGCTTACACACACACGCACACACACACACACACACACACACATATATATATATATATATATATGGCCTGACGATTGCATCTAGCATGAAACAGACTGTCGCCTCTAAGAGTTGACTTCTATGTTCACGTTATATTTACACACGCTCTATCTCTGATATTAAGCACTTTATCCTATAAATATAGCACATCTTAAGACTATATATATATATATATATATATATATATATATATATATATATATTATATATATTGTATTGTTTTATTCAAACATATATTGTTAAATATAAAATACAACGAATCTCAAATGTCCCTTTACTGATAAAATTATACGTATTAATCTGCATTTATAATGAATAACTTTACATCTACCAAACAATAATATTACACACACACACACACACACACACACACACACACACACACACACACACACACACACACACAATATATATATATATATATATATATATATATATATATACATATAGTGTACTGGGACAGTATTATTGAAACATATATTGTTAAACATAACAGACGACGAAGGTCTATTATATTTGATCATGAGCCGTTCTAAGCTTCGTAAAGTTGCTTTTAATTTCGTGAGAAAATAAAACGATGCAAACCACTCTCAACAAAATTACATTTCAAACTAGTCACAACACATTACATTGCATCTAAACATATGTTTCGGTTGTTAATATTTCGTTCTCTCACGTGGTATGACATCATAGAAACCCATCACAAACTTACGACCTGTGTCTGTTATTCCGCGACCGTTATAGTCACATAGTAAACTTCTTTGTAAACATAACAAAATATAATCTTTGAAGATGAATATCTTTGTTTAAATGCTCACATAACCACTCTGATGATGGCTCATGTGAACATAAAGCTTATATCGGGGAACAGCTTAATAAAATATATCCCAATAATATATATATATATATAATTTTTAATAAAATATATCCAAATAATATATAAATGTTGGACAGTTTTTTTCTTTATTTTATCCCGAAATTAATGCAACTATATTAGCACGTAATAAATTTAACAGATTTGATTGGAATTCGAACTTGGCTCTCCGATTCCTCCACCGCGCCTCCATGTAATCTGCAGAGAGCTCAATATAAAGCACAGAGAATAATAATAATAATAATAATAATAATAATAATAATAATAATAAAGTTTTTTCTTGATTTTATATATATATATATATATATATATATATATATATATATATATAAACAGGAGAGAAAGAGTATGAGAGAAATAGAGAGGAGGAGCGAGAAGGGTTGAACTCAATTGATTAAACATTAATCGACGATTTATACTTTAACAAGCTTAAGTTAAAACAGTAGATATATTCATTTCAAATTATTGATCATTAAACACGATACTTTCTCCTTTTTTAACCAATCAGGAACAAGCAATCAGACCGGCTCACGTCGCCCAGCTCATTAATTATTAGTGAGGTTTTTTTTTTTTTTCTCACCAATCATAAACAAGCAGTCAAACATTTAAGATCCCATAACTCATTGATCATTGGTCAATTTATTCCATCAATCATCAACAAGTAAATAGAAGATATTTAGAAATCTTGGATTCTCATTAATTATTGGTCAGGGTTTTTTTTTTCTTCACCAATCATAACCAGGCTTTGGTATGAGTGTATTTATCTTTATTTCTCAGTGTAAGCGCCGGGCTTCAAAGAAATGCAATGTTTTATTTATATAAAATATAATAAAACCATATAAAGTCTTTCCATGAGACTTGGTCTCAACATCTTCCTTAGTTGTTTTTTTTCTTTCAAGTTTTTTTCTTCTTTTTTTTACTTAACCGGATTATATGCTTGTTCTTTCTTTCTTTCTTTCTGAACAAAGTTATATGCGTATATTCTTTCTCTTCTCAGTCGGACGTTGGTTGGTGGTGTATTTGTATTTTTCTCTTTCTCTTTTTCTTTCTTTCTTTTTTCTTTCAACTTCTAACATGTTAATATACATTTCTTTCTTTCTATCTTTCTTTCTTTCTTTCTTTCTTTCTTTTCGTCTGTTTTTCTTAATTATCACGGTCATAACCTTGTTCTTGTTTTCTTTTCTCAATGGGAAATTGATTGTGCTTTTCTTTCTTTTCTTCTTTCTTTCTTTCTTTCTTTCTTTCTTTCTTTCTTTCTTTCTTTCTTTTCTTTCTTTCTTTTCCTGACTTGACATTAATTGGCTGATACCGTGTTCTTTCTTTCTTTCTTTCTTTCTTTCTTTCTTTCTTTCTTTCTTTCTTTCTTTCTGAAGAGAATTATATCTTTATTCTTCCTTTCTTTTTTTCTTTTCTTTCTTTTCCTGACTTGACATTAATTGGCTGATACCGTGTTCTTTCTTTTTTTTTCTTTTTTTATATTTAATTATTTATTTTCCTGATTGTGCATTAGTTGATTGATACAGGGTCAGTTTTTTCTTTCTTTCTTTCTTTCTTTCTTTCTTTCTTTCTTTCTTTCTTTCTTTCTTTCTTTCTGAAGAGAATTATATCTTTATTCTTCCTTTCTTTTTTTCTTTTCTTTCTTTTCCTGACTTGACATTAGTTGGCTGATACCGTGTTCTTTCTTTCTTTCTTTCTTTTATATTTAATTATTTATTTTCCTGATTGTGCATTAGTTGATTGATACAGGGTCAGTTTTTTCTTTCTTTCTTTCTTTCTTTCTTTCTTTCTTTCTGAAGAGAATTATATCTTTATTCTTCCTTTCTTTTTTTCTTTTCTTTCTTTTCCTGACTTGACATTAATTGGCTGATACCGTGTTCTTTCTTTCTTTCTTTCTTTCTTTCTTTCTTTCTTTCTTTCTTTCTTTCTTAAAAGAGTTATACCTTTACACTTTTTTTTCTTTGATCTATCAGCATTGTACTCCATTATATCTATATTCTTTTAATTTTATCATTTATATTTGTTCTTCTTGAATTTCTTCATTATTATTCTTTTTACTAATTTTCTTTCTTTTACTTTTTCATTTCTCCTTTACTTCCCCTTCTATTTCTTTGCCTCTCATCTTTTTCCTTTTTTTTCATTGTTTTTCATTCTCATATTTCTCTTCCTTTTCTCTTTCTCTCTTCTTATTTCCTTTTCCTTCTTTTCCCCATGTCTCATTCTTTATTTTAACTTTATTCAGTTTTGAAGATTTTTCTGTAGACGCTGGCGAACGAGGATGATGTCACAGATCTTTTAATTATTTAATGAGAAGCAAGGGATAACTAATTTGACTTAACCTCCGACCTGTAGTCATTCTTTTTCCGCAAAAAAATGAAATATCATTCTTGTGAAACAAGCGATACAACGAGAGCATGCGCAGTAGTATTTCCCTTTCGAGTAGCATGCGCCGCCATTTTTATTCTTTGTCCAGTTGACTTCCAAATGAAGCAAAGAAAACCTGATTTAAAATACCCTCGCCTTGATGCCAGAACGTTTTGCCAGCACAATTTTCCGTTTGAAAAGGTTGATATTAAAATTTTCTGAGTGGATGGTTAGATATTTATCTTTTGGAAGATAGTTTTCACTAATCCAACCCGACTTTGGATTTCTGCGTCATATTTACCGTCCGACAATTTCGACATACTTTATGTCCAGAAAAGAAAACAAATTATAAGAAAACAAGAAAAATTAAATAAAATATTTAACCGCAGTGCCTTGTAAGTCGTACCTAACGATATATATATATATGTGTGTGTGTGTGTGTGTTTGTGTGTGTGTGTGTGCACTTAGACATCAATTCTTCTTTCATGCACATTTCATTGAATACGACAAGGTGCTTTGTTTTATTTTTTTATACAATTTCTCATGCGATCTAATAATTTTTTCCTTTCAGATAACAAATCATAAAAAAAACTGTCCAAATGTTCTTTTTATCCGAGCGCTTTCGGCTATACATTATTTTTAGCCTTTTTTGCATGTAGATGATGCAATTATATTAGTGTTATCAACAAGTATGTCACGAATAATGTCCGGTAAGTCTCCATGAATATTTAAATGAGATCTAATTGAGCTATGGTCAGAAA